TCATAAAAGTCTCGCACAGACATAGCATTACTTTATGAGATCATCAATGCAATCATCAATTGCTTGGAGGAATTTGTGTCCGATATTCAATTCGTTTTGACATTAGAGTTGTAAGGTGGATTAAACCATATAACGTTTCTGTTTCTAGTGCGTTTTGTCGTCGTTTGCTGGGGATTGTATTTTAACTTGTAATTGTAGCCACTCTTATGTACCATATCATACCAGTTGCGCAGCCAAAGGAATACTTAAAGTGTTTGGTCACCAAAACGGAATCATTTGTACGACGTATTCGATGGAAAGCTTATCATTTTCTCAAACCTGACGAGTCTGCGGAATCTGCATCACAGGAAACCTTTGGTTTTCGTTCTACAAAATCGCCTCCCCCAATGAAAGAGCTTGAAGAATTTGAAAATATAGAGTGTTTTCTATTATTCAAACTGTTAAGTTTAACAAATGCCAAAATGAATTTCAGAAAACAGAATTTCTTAAACCATGAAATAACTGTTATTTCATGGTTTAAGAATTTACCGATATCGTAGATTTTTAACCATCCATTTAATACCGAAGAGCTGCTTCTTCTTAACGCCTTAATTTTGCTTCCCAGTTCAACACCATCACGGATGAGGAGAAGCACATAATAATGCAGGCGAAGAAATCAGCCGTTCTCTTCAGCAGAAATCAAACTTGGTGCAAGCAAGAGTCAGATAGCCTCTTTGATGTAACGATGGGCAGTTTTGATGGTGCGGAAACATGCGAGCTAGTTGGTTTATTCCTACTATCCAAACTTCCTCCAGAATATCGAAATGATGATATTGGTCTCTACAGAGATGATGGCCTTGCAGGGAGTTGCAGCGTTTGACAAACAACCGAGAGAAATAGAAAATATCAAGAAGCAGATTTGCAGAATTTTTAATGAACATAATTTAAAGATTACAATCGAAGCTAACAAAAAATGTGTCAATTACCTAGATGTCACATTTGACCTAAGAACTTCCTCATTTAAACCGTACATGAAACCAGGAAATACGCTTCAATATGTCCATCGTCAGAGTAATCACCCACCCGCAGTTTTAAAGGCAATTCCTGATGCAATTAACAATCGATTGTCCAACATCTCGTCTGACGAACAAGAATTTGATCCAGCTTGTCCTCCATACCAAGATATATCTGACATAAGAGTGGTTACAACTACAAGTTAAAATACAATCCCGAGCAAGCAAAGACAAAACGCACTAGAAACGGAAACGTTACATGGTTTAATCCACCTTACAACTCTAATGTCAAAACGAATATCGGACACAAATTCCTCCAAGCAATTGATGATTGCTTCCCTAAAAACAATCCTCTCCATAAAATATTTAACAGAAATACCTTGAAGCTGAGTTACAGTTGCATGCCCAACATTCGTAATATAATTTCTGGGCACAATAAATCTGTAGTAAATAAGCTCACCTCAACAGATGCGTCAACATGCAGCACGAAACCAAGACAATGCAATTGCAGGAATAAGTCCTCGTGTCCACTGCCCGGTAAATGTCTAACATCCAGCGTAGTATACCAAGCAACGGTTGTTAGGAACGGTACGAATCAAAAGGAATCGTGTAACAAACGTACTTGCAGGGAGGTGAGTCCGGGATTGGACGCACCGAGGGTGGCTGGAAGTTTCCCGAACTTACCGAGCGAAGCGAGGTGAGTTCGGGAAACGTCCAGCCACCCGAGGTGCGTCCAATCCCGGACTCACCGAACCTGCAAGTACGTTTGGTTTTTATCCCATACACCGAGGCTGACCGAGCCATACACACATTTGTAGCTCTTCGCGATATATTCGTCGATGTTTTGTGAACATTTTCTCGGCCAAAAAAATCACTGGGCAAGAAAATACTTCTTTATCTACATCTACATTACCTTTACTGCATTTTTTCTTTGGTTTTTCTTCAGTCTCGGTATGTTAGTCACCGAAAAAAGTTCTTTAATTTAAAGTTTAGGTTTATCGGCTAAATCTTGTCCGCCATATTTGTTATTATTATTGCAACGTAAGCAGTTTAGCGGGTGAGTTCGGGCGAAAAGCAGGTGAGTTCGGCAAAAAGCAGGTGAGCTCGACGACAAGCTCACCTGCTCTAAACCAATCAGAAAGCCGCTTTTAACACAGGTATGGGATAATATATCGGACATACTGAAGGAGAGTTCAAATCCAGATATTATTGCCATACTAGATTAAGCAAGTATAGAAATGCAACAGAGCACAGGGAGCAGAGGAGTCGAGTTTATCTGGTAAAACAATACAAACGCCATCTTACCTTGTTAATTGTAATATCTTTCATTTGAAATTGTCGTGAAACATATAAAGCAGTGATATAAAGTTTATAAACATTGTATGATTTTTTATTCGTATTTCATGTAACATCAACACCAAATGAATATACTCCGCTGTTCTAGATTATTGTGGGCTCACATTTCGCTATACTTAGTCAACTTCGTCCCCAGGGTCTTCCTCGTGGTGGCGCGCGAGCTCAGGAAGACCCTGGTAAAATAAACACCGCGGAAAAACGTCTGCGCATGCGTCAACCTTACCTGTAATAGTATTGCGAACTTGATGAGAAGCTGTTCCGAATGTTTCCGAAGGCTCAAAATGGCGGTAAAAAGGAGTGACTTCATTGTGCGTCTTTACAGCCAGATTTCGAACGCAATAATAAACATGTCATTCTAAAAACTAGGAATAAATACAGCCAGAAGGTCCAAGAAATTGTATTGTACAAGATCATGAACTAAAGGTGATTGTTGACAAATTTATCGTCTGAAACATTTTGTTTATCAACTAAGCAAAGACAATTTCCGAATTTTCGTTTGAGATACATTTCTTTAAAAAACTGTGTCGCCAAATATAAAAAATTTTCGTGTTCACAATAATTAAACTTTAGGATTTATTCTACAATTTGAGTGGGTTAAGAAGCTTAACTTTTCGAGAGTTTTCTTAACTTTTTAGTTTGAATTTTTGTTTTGAATAATTTTGCAAAAGTCGTGTCCGTTAAAATCAACAATTTTTTGCATGAATTATATTTCATTGCATACTTTAAATGCCAGGACGCTTTCAATTATTGTCTAGTCTACCCATTTGCTATATTTTCTCGTTTGTTTTACTAATTTTTGACCAATTAATAAGCATGTTTTTATTTTAGAAATTGATATTCAAATTCCCCGCCATATTTTCATAATTTGGTGCATGCGCAGACGTTTTTCCGCGGTGTTGGTAAAATACGATGTAATCTCCAAGATTCTTGGAGATTTATCGCATGCGCAGTAACGCGCTCATATTTGTGACATCGCTTTGTTCGCTTTGGCAACCCTCGTATATATCAGATGCTATTCGGCTTCAAATGCGACTGAATAAACACTGATAGTGTTGCCTGGAATATGAAATGATATTGATTGATTGTTCTGTATATCAAGGTATGTACTGTACATTTATACTGAATTTATTCGAGAGACTTAGAGGGTGCATCGCCAGGACAATTTGCCTCTTTTGTTCAAAGAGATGTACATGGTAAACAAAATATAATAATACTGCATAATATTATGCAGATTTAATATTTCCAAAGTGGGAGGCTTTTTAACAAATTTGGTTGATACTCAATTTGGTGGATATTCATCTGGCCACCTGTCATCAACTCAAAATTTCAAAATTCTTCTTAAATGTCTAAGCTCTGAAAATATAGTAATACAATTTATGAATTACATCAGATTACAGCTCAGATTCAGAGCTTGATGAAAGACTGTCGTAATGCCTTCCAAATTCAGAGTTTACGCCTTGACATCTAGGTTCCATCCTATTGTATTTTGGGCCAGTCCACCGTCATCATATTAAGAGTGGTTATAAATTCTACTAACCAATGGATTGTCAATTGATGATATCCCAGTAATATCAACAATTCTAAAACAAAATCCATAAAAAATTAAAAATTATTTGTGCTGAAAAAGAAATGAATAATGATAATTATTTTGAATTTGCATAGCAAGACTAAATTGTCGGGCTGGCTACGCCAGTGACAATTAAGATACAATAGAAAATAATTCCGAATTTAACTAGTGAGTTATCGGTACACTCTTTGGTAAGTTTATCATTATATATATGTTATTTACCGGCTGGGAGGTCCGGATAGAAAAATATTTTGTCCAGGTCTCAAATGATTGCAAGAGCTCTTTTTTGGACACTTTGGATGACATCTGCTAGGTAATTTGGAAGTGACGTGTTTACCAAAGAGCAATACACTGTACATAGGTGACTTTGATTAAGACCAATTCGCCTTAGGACGCGATGAACATACAGACGCTTAGAAGCTTTCGAGGTGATCTTATCGACGCAGTCCACACGCCTAGCTAGAAGTTTGAAGAATTTGACTGTATCGATGTCATTATCGTTAATATGCAATGGTTCTAACTCAAGTGGCGGTTTAATAAGGAAACTAATTCGCGTTTCCTTTTTCTCCTTAACTTTAATATTCGGACAATTAGAGCATGACCACGAAGTAATTTGATCAATCTGGCATTGGAGATTGGAACTGGATTTCTTATTTAGAATTTCAGATAACTATTAGTTGTCAACATAATTTATATTTAATAATATAGGATCTGTATTACTGGTTGAAATCGCTGCAAGATCGTCGATCATAACTATAAAGAGTATGGGACCAAGTTTAGTTCCTTGTGGAACTCCGGCAGGTTTAGTTAGCCATGCAGTTAGAATAACAATCTGCAAGTTTGGCCCTATGTTGACGGTTGCGAAGAAAGTCCGCAATCCAGTTGATTAATAATGGATAAACTTCCAGGGCCTGTATTTTTCGAAAAATGATGTTGTCTTCTATGCGATCAAATGCTTTAGCAAGTTAATAATACATGTTCGAACAACGTTCCTAGGTACATCAATTCCTTTAAGCCAATTGTGGGTAAGCTTTATAAGAGCATGAGTTGTTGATGAATTCTTCATGCATCCGTACTGGTGAGAATTAAGAGAGGGTACGACCTAGGTGGACCCAGAGACGATTAGAAACAAAACCTTCAAACATTTTGCTAAGAACAATATTAAAAAGACAAAGCTTTGCTAGAAGTTCATTGTGTTTGTGTGATAAATCAACAATCATGAGAGGACCAACAAAATTTTCTACTTTTACTATATTTCCTACTTGAAGCATAAGGCCATCATTTATCCGTAACACAAACAGGTGAGGTACTTCATCCATCTCACATTCAACAAATGATGATGTAGCTGTCGGTTCATCGTCCTCTTCTAACGTAGGTGTTTGCTTGATTGAACTTGGTTTATCACGACGATGTCGCCTTTCTTGACGGTTAGATTTCTTTGGTTCAGGGGATGGAGGATCACGCAAAGAAAGTGCAGGAATGATCTGTTTCTCTCCATCAGGTAACCAAAAGTACTTGTACTAACTGATTCAGTACAAGGTGAATGCTGTATTATTATTTATTAGGCAAAGGTTTCAATCTGTAGGCCCCGATTTTTATCAACTGAGTGCAAATAATAAGAATAGTGAAGATCCAGGTTTAACAAAAAAAAAATTCTACAAATAAATATTTTCTACAAATATCACCATGCAAATATACAAGGAACTTATTAAAATACTGTAGTCTCGTAATGGACAGATAAATATCCTAAAGTAAGGCATGGGGGTGCATTGCATCCGGCAATGAATACACATCCAACCTTGTTTTTTTACTCTTATACCAGAATATTTTGTCTTGTCAGCGAGATAATAGATTATCTGATAGTTTGGAGGCTCTTGCTCTATATACACACTAACAAGTGTGTTTAGTAAAACTGGGTAATAGAAGTAGTACTTAGTAGAACTTTAATGATGCACGCTGACCCCGTCAACCGTGGCTGATTTCCACGAGAGAGAGGTGGGGGGGGGGCGCACGTGCTAGAAAATAATTTTACATGTAGAATATGATAAATGTTTGAAGCCCATAGTAAATGTATGCGGCGGTTTGGATGCTATATACTATGCATCATCACAGTAGTTTTTACACATTTTTTTTTTTTGGGGGGGGGGTGTAATGGTCAACAAAAGTGCCTTTCACATCTGAGTGGTTGGTTTGATTCTTTGAGGAGCAGTCAATGGTCTGCCCAAAGCCTGAGCTTTCTCGGGCACCCGGCAAGACTCTGGTTTCCTCCCACACTGACAGGGGAAGTGAGCATAAACAGTAACAAATAAGTGAAAAATTCATTATATAAATTCATTATAAGATACATAAGATCACATACATTTTCAGGACCTGAAACTGCATAAAAAAATGATCAGTCACACGGACCACAGCTGAGATGGCTGAACCCTCTTCCTCTGGTCTAAACCAAACAGTATCACCGCTTTCCAGTCGGGGCATAATGCTTTGAGCTTTCTACCCTGTTTCCAGAGGCTCTTTGCGAGGCGAAATAAACGAGAGGCGAGAAGGAAGAGCCTCTGGTCACATCGGTTGCAAATCCCACTTCCACATTTGATTAGGTTCGGAATTTGAATCTCGCATGTGATTGGCCATTTGTAAAAATATGACAAACAGGTTTGGGAAAACAACATTACAGTAAGCTAATTATTGCTATAAAAGCTATGATTAGCTTGTTTGTTTCTCAAACTGGTAGTATATATTTTTACAAATGGCCAATCACATGCGAGGTTCAAATTCTGAACCTAATCAAGTGTGGAAGTGGGATTTGTAACCGATGTGACCAGAGGCTCTTCTTTCTCGCCTCTCGTTTATTTCGCCTCGCAAAGAGCCGAAAGTAACATCACGCCGAAATAAAGTGGAAATAAATTGAATGATATATTCGAAATTTTTGGCTTAAAACAACTTATAGATCCTACCAGAATTACACCATATTTTTATTCCATAAAACATCTTATAGAACGTACTTTCTATAAGATGTTTTAGTCTATATGACGGACAAAGTCCACTGCAAACAATCAGGTACGCGACCAGTTCAAATAAGAAGCATGAAAAATTTTAACACAGGAAATTATTTAAGAGATTAGAACAACAAGCATGGGCAGACATGAATCTAAGCAATGATCCTAATGAATGTTGGTGAAATGGAAGAACATGATTGTTAATTAATTGTATTGACAAGCATGCACCATTCAGATCAAAAAGAGTTGGGGAAAAGAAATCTCCCTGGATCACCTGCCAATTAAAGCAAAAAATGCGTAAGAGAGATTTTCTGAAAAAGAAAGCTAAGCAGACTAGTGATCCATTAATTTGGCAACAATATAAACATTCACGAAATGGTACAAGTAATGAAATTAAAAGTGCAAAAAATCAATATTTTAAGGTTAACCTTGAGGCTAATAAGAAAAATCCAAAATC